CTAAATTGCTGGCATCTATATGAAAAGGAAGAGTCAATACGAATCAGTTGAGGTGTGACAATGTTTTACTAACCAGCGTGTTCGGGAAGATCGTATGTCTTGCGAATTTCACGAATGCTGTAATCTCCATCACCCTGTCGATCTTCTTGCTTCGCTTCAACAACTACTCGTCGGCCTTCGACTCTTGTTCTAATTGTTTCAGGATTAAACCCTGCTACATTGAGTTGAACGCGAAATTTTTCTGAAAGAGCTGGCGTTGTCACTGTTGTAGTGACAGGAATAAGTGTATTACCACCGTTGGTACTATTTGTATTACCCGAAGTTGTGTAAAACGATGAACGACTTATACGACGCGGTTGATTGATCCACCGAAATGAGCTTGGCGTGGTCGACAATGCGGTAGGAAATGTGTCAAAGTCACGCCATGGATCAAAGAAATGTTGTTGATCACCAAAGAATCGATCGTACGGGTCGTTGAATAGTCGATAATGAGTGATAGGGAAGTACGACATGTTTCACCTGATATATAAAAGAAGTCAACGGGTGGTATGTTTGTATATTTTACTTGGTGGTTATGATGTATATATATATGGAATATATCGGCGGTGGTGGTTGTCGAATTACGATGTTTCGAGATTATTCGAGAGAGACAGAGAGAGGAAAAGGATATTTACGTTCTTTTTTTCCCATTTGGATATCTAAAACGAGCCATTAAATAACCACTATTAAGGCGTTTATGTTGAAAGGACAGGAATAACTTCGTGCAGTATGTATGTTGATGCTTGTAGGCGTGATGGATATTCAACGAGTTTTCCTCCTTTTCCACTTTCAACAGAAACGTAATACTCATAAATCCGATGAATCTTGTACAGAATATTCCGTACATAAGTGATGAACAAAGTTTCATTCATTAAAATTCATCTTCGTAAATGGAAAGAGACGAACCTTAACAATACATTTTCTGATGTTTGTGATACTGTGAATTATAACACATAGCAGGATTATTTCATCTCTCAATAGTGAGGTACAATTTATTGCTAAAAATACGACAAGTGTTGTTTTTGGTAGTTCATCGAGTGGCTGAAAATACATTCTCATGCGAAACACAGAAATGAATACAAACAATAAAACATCATTAATCAAGCATATCTATTGCGAGAAAATCTGTTATTTAGATCCAGTCGTCGACGCCGAACTACCATCCGTCGGTTTTGACGAGATTCCACCTGATGCATCGACGTCTGTTTGATCCACAAGAACTTCCTCGTATGGTCGAGCCTGAGTAGAAGAACTGCTAGTCAGAATTATTTTCTCTTGGTTGAGAGTCGTGCGGGCTCTGACAGCTATATGGAAAACAAAATGATTTTAGATTTTGTGCATGCAAATAAAAGAGAAATCGTCCTACGAAGCGCTGAAAGCGGTGTTATGGATCTTTTTTGAATAGCATGCGGAGACAGGTCGGTCCGTTGTTCTAATCATGATTAAAAATAAGAAATGAATAATCAAGCGGGAAGAAGAAAGCATGATAGCAAAAAAATGTGTCATCATCTACATCATATACCATGAGGAGTTCGTCGACGTTCACGGTAAAGTACCTCATCTTTTTCTTCTTTCTCGTCGAGACGTAGTACTATCGAACTCTTCTTACTTTCATCAATATTTTTCGATACTTCTTCAGGTGTTTCATGTTGAATATCTGTAGTTTTTACTGCAGTTGCCGAAGATGCTGATGCCATATCGAAAAATTGATTGGGTTAACAAAGTACACAATTGATCTTTCACAACAAGAAAAAAAACTTGCTTATCTTACTCACGTAGGTTTATATACGCCAACTGTCAATGAAATAGAATTTGCATTGTAGAGTGAGCCACAGTCGATGTCATCAATCTTGTAAAAAAGAACCTTTTTCTTGTTAGCCCACGATATTTTTTTTCATTATTTCTCTTTTCTGTCACAGAGTCAACATTGACAATGACTAAGATATGACTTTGAATAATTCTGACTTGTTCAACACTATAAACCAATCCAGTACGATCAGATGCTTACAATTATTTGTGAGTAAATAACACTAAACACGTTGACTCGCAATCTGAATGGTTCTAAGCGAACAACAAACTACAATTCTCATTGTCGATATTTATTTCTAAACGCGAAAAAACAATGAAAACTCGATTAATTATGAACAGTATCCGAATTGGCATTACCGATTGCGCTCGTTACAGCAATTACGAGCGATGGTTCTTAGATGCGCCTGAAAAAGTCGACATTATTCGTTTGTCATATCGACTAAATAATCTCAACGATATCGAGCAATGCCAAGGAGTAGTTTTGTCCGGTGGAGAAGATGTAGATCCACGTCGATACAAACGACCGGATCTTCTTGGTCGAGTAGAATTCACTGACATTGACGAAAAACGTGATGATTTCGAAATGGAAGTCATTCACCGCTCCTTACAACTGAAATTACCTATTTTGAGCATCTGTCGAGGTAGGAATGAGCAAATCAAATACAATTCATGCATAAATTCTACTTTCAGGTATGCAATTATTTAACGTTTATCATGGCGGCACATTGGTTTACGATATTCCCACTGTAACGAAAATCAGTGGCCATGCGAAAGTACAAGGTAATTAGAGAAATTCCGAATAAACCGAGTGCTATTTTCTCGTACGTACGAATGAGACTAAAAATAAATGTCCAGATGGTAGATCCTTCATCTGATTTTGTTTATGTGATATATTACTTTTTGGCCTTAGCGTACAACCAGTATTCGATAGCGTACAGAACAAACGAGCTATATGCGAGTCATGGGTACAGAGATTTGTGTTTTTTATAGGAATTGATCAACGTCATGAAATAATCGTTCGAGAGAAAACTCTTCTGAAGGAAATTACTGGTTGTATCAAAGGTGCGGTGAATTCATCACATCATCAATGTGTTGAGAAACTTGGAGCAGAGTTAACTGTTGCCGCCATAGCAGAAGAACCGATTATTGAAGCAATTCAATGGAAAAACGCAAAAGAAAATCCATTTTACTTAGGTGTTCAGGTACTCTTGTTACAAAAGATTCTTTTCTCATCGAAATAATATCTTTTCTCTATTTAGTGGCACCCGGAACGGATGGTTGATCAGACAAGTCCATTTTCATTCAATATTCGTCAAGCGTTTCTCGACTATATTACCAAAGATGAAGATTCGTTCGTAAACATCATTAACGAAGAAGAAAGCTCCGGTCGTCAGGATGAAATCGAGAATCAACCGCCATTGTCATCATCGCAAATAGTGGACAAACAATAGATTAATTATCAGTCTTATAATCATGATTTTCTACGGTGAATCAATACGGATAAACACTTGTGTTAATATTTACCATTGAATTCTTTACTTTTCTTCTCATTGCATAACAATCATCTCGGAATAGTCATTCGATTTTCTTCTTCTTTAACTCCTCGACCCTATTTTTGACTTTGACTAGATAGTTTTACACAAAAATACCTTCTTAGCTTAGTATGTATTGATATTTCGTCAGATACTTACTAGTGAAAATCTAAATTTTAATTGTCTGTTGACTTATGTATACATATATAATTAATCAAGCGATGATATTTGTTTATATTTATTATATGTTTATAGTTTTATGGAAATTCTTTTTTTTTTAATCAATTATACGCAAAACCAAGCAATACACTTTTTTTAAAATATCTGTAACATATTTGTTCAAAATAAATTCTTCTGTATAAACAGTTTGAATGACAAAACAAAACCAGTCGATGAATCCGATTGTCATTCGCGTTGGCAATACATAACAATCAGAGTCCAATGCCTCAATTTGGCGAGACATTCTCTACATGCGTTTGTTTATGATTTCCTGTTGTTAGGTTATTATATAATGATATTCTTTGTGGTACAGATCGTTGGCGACCTATTTGATGTTTATTTATCGACACGCATCTTTTTTTAATCGAAATATATCTCGAAATCACTTATACGCGCTGATGCTATTCTTAAAATACTCACATGAATAATATGTATGTTTTTTCTCGCTCTCTCGCAGGTCAAAGTCCATACAACTCGAATAATTGTCTCCAGGTATACACGAAGAAGAAAAATTCGATTTGACGTATTTGAAAAACGTATTCTCTTCAGAATCAAGTTCGTTTCTGATCAACAAAATTTGGCGCTCGGAGATGGCACGACACCATAGTGATCGATTAGTTTATAAATTTCTCACACTGAAGTCCATTATTTGCTTTTTCGTTCCTCTTCGCTATTTGGAATTCACTACTATTTGTGGAAAAAAGAAGCAGAACACGAAGAAGAAGAATCATCGACACAATACTATAGTGGTAATGCGCAAGTCTTCGGTACATTTGCCTATATCATCGTAAACAACCGCGATAGAGGGTGTCGGTAGGCTGTAAATAAATATATTTCTTTCGTACTTCGAACAAAGTACACTTGATAAACTAATGCTATTTACTTCTCTCGCATATAAATGTCCAGTTGATTGCTGTTTGTGTAGAGCAATGAAATGAGCCGAGGAGAAAAAGTTATGATCACGTCATTTTTGAATACAGATTATTAATTGGTAGTTGAGCTCGAGAAAAGATTTCAAACAGTTACATTTGATTTAACGATTTCTTTTAGATTTCGCACTTAGAGTTCATAGGAAAAAGTCACCTTTTTATTCTATCGTATGTATTGCACTGGCCCGTAACCGTCTTTTTTCGTTCATCCATATGCGAGTGTAATTCGAGTTTTCGTCTCCTATCTGATAGAATTATCCATCATTATACGAGAGGTCATTTAATCAATAATAGGGTGTCCGACATTAAGACCATTCGATATACATATCTAACGAGCTGGGTTCGATCTCTCTTTCTTTTTCTTGCTTTTTTTTTCTTTGGTTCTCCTTGGTATTAGAAGAGTGACGTAACAAAATCAAAGAATCATTTACTATATTTCTGTATTCGTCGTCTGTGTATATATCAAACATACATGTCACGTAAGCAAATCAATTCCTTTTNAGGTTGTTCGGTTCAATTGGTTTTGTTTTGTAGAAAGGTTTTGATGTCACTCAACAGAAAGAAATCGACGATTTCATGATTCAACAAGATGGAACAGATAGCAAAAGTAGGCTAGTCAACTTCCGCTTCGATTGCATCTCATTATTCTCTAGAAAAATATGGTGCCAATGCTATTCTCGGTATCTCCATTGCCGTTTGCAAAGCTGGGTAAATCTTTTCTTCCGTCTTTCAATCACAGTACGGCGAACCAATCGGATTGCAACATTGACTTATTTTCTAGAGCTGCACATCGTAATTTGCCGTTATACAAATACATTGCAACACTTTCAAATTCTAATATTCGTTTACCTGTACCTGCTTTCAACGTAATACACCAACAAACTTGTTGTAATCGACTTGTCATTCTGATTTGTATGTCGGATAGGTTATCAACGGTGGAAGTCATGCTGGTAATAAATTGGCAATGCAAGAATTCATGCTCTTACCAACTGGAGCAAAAACATTCAAAGAAGCAATGCGCATGGGTTCGGAAGTTTATCATCATTTGAAAAATTTGTAAGATTCACTGAAATTGAGTGTTGAGTAAAAATGGTTTTCTATTTAGAATCAAAGCTGAATACGGCCTTGATGCAACGAACGTCGGTGACGAAGGTGGTTTCGCACCAAATATCGAAAGTGCTGAACGAGGTGGGTGGAGAACTTTGCATCACATGCGATGTCTCATGATTGTTTTTTTTTATGCAGCACTTGATATTCTCGTCAAAGCTATTGACAAAGCCGGCTACACTGGTAAAATCAAAATTGGCATGGATGTTGCTGCAAGTGAATTTTATGACGAAAAGGAACAGAAATATGATTTAAACAACAAGGAAAAAGGCAAACCAAACTATGTAAATATTCGCATAGAATAAATTTGAATCTGTACTGATTGTGATCTATTTTCTAGTTAACAAGCGATCAATTGGTCACATACTACCTAAATCAAATTGAAAAGTATCCAATTATCTCCATTGAGGATGGTTTTGAGCAAGACGATTGGACTGGCTTTCAAACGCTTCTAACATCTGTTAAAGGTCGTGGTGTACAACTTGTCGGGTATGACAATCCTTCTTTCGAATAGAAGAAAACTTTCATAGACGTTTTGTGTTCAGTGATGATCTGACGGTAACAAATGTAAAACGAATTCAATTAGCTATTGAGAAGAATGCATGCGATTGTCTACTACTCAAAGTTAATCAAATCGGTTCGGTTACAGAAGCCATTGCAGCGTAAGAATTGCTGTTTTTTTTTCATATCGTACATATTCGATTTCTTTTGCCTTCTAGATGCACCATGGCTCGTGGTGCCGGCTGGGGTGTCATGGTTAGCCATCGAAGTGGTGAAACCGAAGATAGCTTCATTGCTGATCTTGTTGTTGGCTTGGGTACTGGACAGGTTGGTTGTTTCTCTATACCTAGAATGTGCAGTTCTTATTAAAATCATTTGTAGATCAAAACTGGAGCACCATGCCGTTCGGAACGTTTGGCCAAATACAACCAATTATTACGTATTGAAGAAGAGCTTGGTAGCGATGCTACCTATGCTGGTTCAGATGCTTTCAAGAAAAATTAAAACAAGTCGAAATACATTTGAAAACAAAAAAATCACTCAAAACCATTTAGATCATTATTCCTCACTCATTTCCTTTCATCCGATATTTAGAACAGTGTCATCTCGATTTTTTCATTTCATTTCATTTCATTTTAATCTTCATTCTTATTCTCTTTCTTTCGTGTGATGTTCGTCTGTCTATCTAGTTATCTTCTCTTTTTTGTTCTTCTTTGAAAAACGGGCAAGAGTGTACTTCCCGGTGTTTGGCTGTACAGAGAGATCAGTGAGAACACACACGTATTCACTAACATTTAAGTTCAGTTTGTTTTTCTTTCTTCTGGAGTTTTCTTTTCAATTTTGACTCAACGTAGATTTATGCTTACTCTTACTCCTAGTTGCGTTTTTCTCTTCTTTTCTTTTCTTTTTTTCTTGTCACACTTATCGATTTGCGTTTATGTTCGAATATATCGTCTTCAGTGTCCATAATCGAAATTTCTTTATGAGCATGAAAAAGCACAGTTGACTTCGAAGGTGAACTATCGGATTGAACCTTCAGTTTGTTGTTGTTGTTGTTGTTGTTGGCATGCACTCACCAAGTGGGAAGAGGAGAATGAAAGATCACCCTTGATCGCATTACTTATCACATCTTCAATTCTGTCATGCTTATGCGTGTCAACTGATAACAGGAAATTAGAAAAAAAAGATATCGATATATGAATAACAAGTAAACAGAATGTAAATATAAGTGTTCAAGGTAATTGCCTTTATCTACCTGTCATATCAGCACTCGCTAATAGACCTATATTTGATACCACAAATGATAAAAAAATTAATAGAGAGATACATCAAAGATAATTGTTTTCAATCAATCATAGTTAATGATGGTCAGAAATCAGATTTTGTTGGACTGAGTGAACTCACATGGACTTTATTTGGTTTCGTTACAGAACTGTAATTGTTTGTCGATGTCATTGCGTATTCGACGATTGAACTCATTTCGATGCTCTTTGTATAGAAGAGCCGCTTCGGCATTCGCTGGACTATTGACGTTCGGTTCGTTTAGCAAACTTCGAATTGAGATCAAGATTTTGTCAATGCTCATCACTTCACTCCATTGAGTTTGTAGTATGTCTATACAAACATCTCCATTTTGATAGATATTCGGATGAAATATTTCAGTTTTAAACGAAACTTTTGGAGGGTGTATTGGATAATCACATGGAATGGATAGATGCAGCTCGTACAGACCACCTTCGAATGGTGTACCTTCGGGTCCGGTAATCATCGCTTGCCATTCGAATAGATTTGATTCATTCAATGGTGCTGCTGTCGCGCCATCCTGCAGAGTCAAGGACTGAAGTTGAACAAGATCCTTTAAAAGACGTTTTTTCGCTGTTTGACAATCATTATGAACTGTAGATGTCATTCAATGCGAAAAAAGTGAATAAATAAACGAAAATATTGTTGCTATGTAATTCTCTCTGAAGTCATTCGAAGAAGCTATTGACAAAAAACTGCACGATAATATATCAAATGGCCTGCTCATTATTTCCTGTGATGATTTATTTTATTTAACGTGGAGCTTTAACAATCAAATGTGGAAATGTTGCACAACATGTAAGTGCTATCAAAAACAGAATCACTCCTAGAAACATAACGTAAACTAAACCAATATGTATAAGTGCAAAGATATAAACATTTTTGTGACAGTATTTATCTGGATTTTCTAATCCAAATTCGAAGTTAGGCATGAAACTAGACCACGTCCAAAACTGTCCAACAATGAACCAGGCAAAAAGGAAAAGGTTTAAAACAGCATCTGTAAAGCCAGATCCATCTAAATAAGAAATATGCAGAAGTCGATGAAAACAATCGATATGTCAAATACGAACTATTCTCTGTTTCTTCCTCTTGATCAAGTTCAACTCCTTCTAACTTTCTCAAACGTCGTCGACGAAATTGTTTCCATAGTAAATTCAGTGCACGTACAAGACCCATCGCGCCAGCGACAAGTAAATAAACAGGTAAATTTGGTTGCACTGGACAATCATTCAAATATTTAACACCTAAAATTTACATGTTACTTTCACATAGCACACTTACAAGTAAACGTACCGATAAAAAATAGTATCACTTGAAAAACGGTTAACAATGCTAATAGAATCGTAGCTCCGTCTAGAATACGAAATGAAGACAAGATTGAATAAGATAGTACCTCATCAAAATTTTTTCGGGGGACAAATTCAAAATCTCGCCCGAGTCATTCATGCATATCAATAGGTCATTGAAATCCTCATTTTCATATAAATGAGAATGAAATAGCTTTCCTCGACTTTCTTATTAACAAACAGTTCGTATCGCTAATCTTTCGTAAATAAGAAATTCAATTGAGAATGTCTTTCTATCCTCACTCTATCTTGACGGAAATCAAATTCATTGTGTGTGTTCACATATAAGTCAATACATTACATGTATTAGCGACAATGGAATATGACTTCTTGACGAATTCGACCAATGTTTCTGAATCTTGTATGGCTTCACCTAAATAGGAAAACAGGCAGAAATAAGAATTACAATCAAAGTTTCTGGATTTACCAAGTCGACTGAGAACAGACACATATGGATCACTATCTTTGACATCTTCAACCCATTCACTCGATGATAAAAGTAAACGTTGATCTTCTTGGGATAACTAAAGAAAACATTTGGAAATGTTCAAATTCAATTAAATGATCTTTTGTTGAAGATAATAGAAATAGAAAGGAAATCTTCGAACTCCTAGGCTGTTTTGAGTATATGACTTACAATTTTTTTTACTTTATCCATGTCACGTTGCTTCAAAAACTGAGCATAACTACTACTGACATTACTGAAACGAGTATTTCGTCGTCCGCCATCGAGGTCAGTGGATATCGAAGTGGGAATAGTTGTATGTAGACGATTTTTTGTTAATCTAACTGTGGTTGGCGCTGGTGAAAGAAGGTTGAAATCAAAAGAGGAACGACGTGATTGTTCTCCAGGGACATTTAGATGAATGCGAACAGATCCTGTTGACTTTATACTATTTTCTTTCAGCGACACTAATTGGCTAAACATAGGTGAATCATTTGTATTCGATAATCTTCGGTGTTGATTCTGCATTGTCATACTTATGAAAACTATTGATTAGCAGTAAAAAAAACTATTAATATTACATCTGAGAAAACTTCTCTGATTTTTCTTCTTCTTCTTCTTCTTCGTCATCTCTTTCTTTTCATCTCTCTGTCTATGTCGTTTTCCACTACTCTCATCCCTGCTGTTGCTGTTGTGTCTGAATATTGTCCTACGGATGAAGTGCTACGATTATCTGTTAGTTTAGAAGAAAAGAAAGAGAAAATTGTGTACGCTAGTTCGACTTTTAATCTATCTGGATCTTCGACACACAAAGACAGATGAAGTGTGCCTTGTAGATTTAATGCTTGTCACAAGAAGTTAAAAGCAAACAGAACAGATATTGACACAAAAAGATGAATCCATTCACGCACAACAAAGTCAATTTCCTTCGACAACAGTTCGCTTGTTTTCTTTCACATGATTTCCAGTTTTTCACGACAATTTTCATTATTTCTTTTGATCACTTGATAAATCTTACAAGTGAACATAATTGCAAAGCACAGAGGAGAAGAAGAAGAAGAGAAATAGCGAAATGATTGAAATCTATCTCGCTAGTGACATTGACATTACTAATTTCAGACATGTAAATTAATTATTTCGTACTAATTAAATAACAGCGAGTTTTATTGACATAAAACGGCATGCGAGAGACAGTTTGACAAGTAGAATGAAAAAAACGGTAGTTCCTGGTTTTCTTTTTCTTTTGGATATCAACATGCACGTACTGAATAAAATGCAAGTGAATCAGAAACAGATAGGCTACGACTATTCGTCATTTACGTCACTTTATACTCAACTTTACTTGCCTATTTTTTAACCCTGCTTGACATTTAGTACATGACTCAAGAAAGACATCAGGATTTGGAAAGTCTCATGTAAATGAGTTAAGAAAAAACAACGAATTTACTTACCACAGTTGATCGATGCTTGTTATTGGCACCTGTACCGCTGACATTTGTCATGAAGATGGCAGCGATGTTACTTTCCATGTTTTCTGACGATAAGCGTTGCCCGAAAAGATCATTGAGGCCAGTAGAAAAACTTGATGCATTCCTTGAGCCTGATCCTTTTTTGTCGCGCATGGTCAAGCGTTTCTTTCGACGCCCACTACTTGTTCGACGTGATGAAGACTTTCGCTCACTTAAGAATGCGGTTGCGATATTTGCCAACGAAACATGTCGATTCTGAGATGTTGACGATAGATCTCGATTATCTATTCCCGCACTAGAACGAGACGGCAGTCGTTGAATTTTTTTATTCCATGACAAATCAATCTCATTATTGAAGTTTTGTCACCGTATTTTATCATCTGATAATGTTCTCATGAAAATCTTATCGAAATAACAATAAATCAATACTCCGATTCAGACTACCTATACCATGCATTGGATTCGACTATTCTTGGTAACGATTATTTGTTTGGTAGCCGTAGAGGCTTCTACTCAATCAACGATTGTTTTCATTCCGCTCGATGAACGTTTTACTACGAGATCGATCGTCTTAAACCTTGCTCGTCTCATTCAAAATGATTTCGACATACTCACACCACCGATGGAAATAATCAGTCGTTGGAAACAACCTGCTGATACAGATCGGCTCTTTCAATGGTTGCATGAACAAATCAGCACGACATGTATCACCTCATCATCATGTGCGCTACTGATTTCCACGGAACAACTAATCTACGGAGGTTTAATCAATAGTCGATTAAGTAATACATCGTTCGATGAATTGAATCTTCGTCTACGAACTCTAGTCGGATTTAAACAAGAATTCGGTGTCAAACTTAAAATCTATCTTAGTTCTGTTATTATGCGTATTCCAGCCTATAACGAAGATTTCGAAGAACCCGACTATTGGGCAACGTATGGGCGCCTAATTTATCTCTGGTCGTTCTACACTGATCGCTATCTTGTATTGCACAATCCAGCTGATGAAGAACAAGCGAAAATTCTAGAAAAACAGATTCCTCAAGACATTCTCCGCGAATTTGTATGGCGACGTGCACGAAATTATAATTTGACTTATACATTACTGAATGACTATACTCAAGCCTATTTCGAACATATATGGCTAACTCTAGATGACAATGCTGAATATGGATTAAATAAAGCTGAAGAAAGAAAATTGATCCAGTTAATTAATAATCCTTCCCTTAATATAAGTTCAAAGGTGAACATCTATCCCGGAGCTGACGAAGTCAGTCTAGCCATACTTAGCCAAATTGTTGTTAGTAATAAGCAAACAGCAAAGCCAACATTCAAAGTTCGCTATCGAAATATCACCACACAAAACTATATACCGAATTACGAAGGTGCACCGCTCAATGAAAGTGTTCTCAAACAAATAACTGCTGTTGGGGGCCATTACATCGAAGACGCAAACGAATCTATACCCGATATTCTCGTTCTTGTGAATAACTGGTCAACAGAAACACAACAAGAAGCAACTGGACTACAAACTTGCGAGGACTACTCGCCATTAGATGCGAAAACAAATCAATCGGTTATCGTCTATGCTGACGTACGGTATAGCAATGGTGGTGATCGATGTTTCTCTCAATGGATAACAAATCGCACTGTGCTAGGAGCGTATGCGTATGCTGGATGGAATACAAATGGTAATACTCTAGGAACGTGTTTGAGTAATGGCGTTCTTTTGAAATATTATGGAAACGTATCGCTGAAAGAAAATCGTCGATTTACAATGTATCGTTTTATCGAAGATGTTCAATATCAGGCCAATCTGCGACAAGTGCTCTCATCGTACTTGATAAATGTGTCTCTCGATCCATCGGATAAACTCAATAGCGACTTGGCATTCTATGAGACCTTTACCGACAAAGGCTTTGTTCCCTATGCCGATAGAATAACGAAAGAATTCCAAGTGACAAATGTCTTTTATCCGTGGAATCGAACATTTGAAATCGGTTTCCATTTGCTTGACAACTAAGAAAAACTCTTATTTTTACCTTTCACATCTTGCAGGAGTTGTCAGACGTCTCGACGCACCTAACGTTGATAGCATTTTTTTTCAAATAATCAGTAAAATTCCTTAAATCAACATGGCCATGTTGTTGCTGATTAACGATAATCATAGCCCTATTCTCTTCTACTAGTTCTCTTTTCTCATTTTAATTTCCCTATTTACACCTGTAGAGCATATCATTAAAATAACTCCGACAAATCATATTCATACTGACTCTACCGATGTGTAACAACTGCTGAACCGTTATGTAAGCACACCTACCTATAAAACGCTGATGAATATGCTTTGCGTAAGGTTCGATCTTGACTTTCCATGAAGAACAAAAGCAAACTGTGAAGAAAATCTCGCTGCTTGTCAAATGGTGACGGTGGTTCAATAAATGTATTCTATCGTATTAGTTTTGTGTAGTCCAACTATCATTAGTGTTTTAACAAATCTTCTTATACGCGAAGAAAATAATAACTCGATGTTCGTTCTTGCTTACCTGGAATAAGCCGGTCTAAATTGATAAGTCATATCGATCGAAATCTAAATAAACAGACAAAATATGATGCTTGTCAATCAAATTAATTTCAAAGTAGCGTGTGTTAATCGGAACACAGTTAGCCACAACCATAATTATCCTAATGAGTAATCAGTTTGGCAAATATTTATCTTTGAACGTAGATGAAAGCGGACGATAATGACCTTCTGTTGACAAATGCGTTAACGAATAGTTACCTGCCTGTCGTTGATATACTGTTTTGTAGTTTGATATACAATTATGGTAATTTAACGTAAGGATGAAATGTCGAGCTGTTGTAGCGAACGCTCATCTCTCATTTTCAGTATCGTGCTGTTTCCTTCGTTTCCATCACGTCTCTGTCTTTAAGTTTTTTCCTTTTCTCTTCTCCTTCGTCGTCTTTCTCTTTTGAAAGGATAATAACGATAATGATAATAATTTTTAGCTTCTTTTTATTCATAAATCTCTAGCTGTCTGTTGACGACTCAACGTATATCTTTACTTCAAGTAAGAGTTAAATACGCATCGTGAAATCTATTATGTCAGCTTTTCTTCTCGTGCTCGCCCGCTCCGCTCTCATCATTATCTTCTTTTTAGATCCTCAGTAGTTTTTCTTCATGAATTTCTTTTAACAAATGCATTCTTTTGAATATGATATTGACAACGAAAGAAAAGATGTTTATATTGTTATTGAAAGTATTATTAAGTCAAAAACCGGCAGCACACTCTTTGCTTATAGTTTTTTGTTGTTAAATTGCTCATCTTTCGCTATGATATCCTTGACTAGTTGATCCAACGTAAACAGATGTTCGTCAGGAACTGGTGCGATAACTCGTATGGCATCCGCTAATTTAAATAGGTATTCGCGGTTCGATCCACTCGGCCCATGTGCTCGCGCAATTTGTTGTGCAATCTGATCAAGCGGTGCATCGCCACCCCAAAATGGATTATTAGATTGAGCCATATAAGTATAACAAGCTCGTTCTTGTTCAGCACTATTATTCGGATAGAATACTGTTTCGACTATTGTATAACCATCTTTTTCACGAACATCAAGTACATGTCGAACACTAGCTTCATCTTCATTAGAGATTTCATATGCCGCACCATAAACACAATCCTAAAGAACATATAAAAGTAACATGTAGAGATGATGCCGTTTAGAAATGTGGAAGACAAATCCTCTTCTCAGATGTTATGTGATTTCATAGACGATATTAAATATAATCTCCAATGACGTATTTATGTTTGTCTTGCTTATTTAATTAGAATTTGATTTTCACAACGCAGTCTCCTATATCGACCGAATCGAGTTTCTTCGAGTTAATTGTAAGGATAAATGTGTTCTAATAATTATCTCTCGAATGGCTTTTTGCGAAGAATGGAACGATCTTCGTACCGTTTAGCCTGTCATCTATATGCAAATATATACCATTACCGATCACTGTCAAAAACTAGGACCGATTCATTGCTCAAAAACTAAAATATTCATTGGATTCTGTCGTTTGAATCGACGACATCTTCATCCGAGTGGAAGAGAACAGAATCCTGCTGTTTAAGTAGACTCCAATGTGAACGAATACAGATACATTAAGATAATTAGTTCTCACAATAAGATTCTAAACCCTGGTTGAAAAACAAAAAACGTATTTTCCAGCAGGTAATTTAAACATTGATTATCGACCCGATGAACCTTTCACGGCGAACTACAAGATTAAACAAACCGTAACCAATGGGAATCGAAATAAGGGCGAAAGAAGGAAGCCTACTCTCATACTTTCTTACTAAAAAAGGTTTTCATCAGCCGATTAATCAATATAACGCCTGTTGACAGTTGAAGGTTGGAACGTAAAATAATTCTATCATGTTTATCTGTTCTCGAAATGTTTACCGACTACTACACGATGAACTTTTCTTTAGTCAAAAAAGTGTATTTAACTTACAGCTTGATTCCCGGTTGAAATCAATGTCACCACTCGTCCTGGCTAAAATGAAACGGATCAGAGCTGAGTTGTCAATCAATGTTGAATTACTTGTCCTGGGACGCCACGATGATCTTCTGATAGTTGCCAAAATCGTCGAATGACACCCTTGAGATGACCTTCAATTCGATTGATAAATCGAAAATCCGGCTTCCATACGATCGAACCGTATCCAAATATCCACATGAACAAGCGCTTTCTGCTATCTTTTCTCTTTCAGTTATATTTTCTAAAGCTTAACGTTAAAGAATACAGAACAGAAACAATAAAAAAAAGACTTTGTCATTGAATGCTTGTTTATAAAATATAACAAAGAGTTCGTGCACAATAAGAAATAAAAAAGAAGAAATAAAATGCGCGGATAATCATTCTGAGATATAGTTTCTATTTATTTTTCGTCGTATGATTTTAATAATCTTGTCGACGTACATGTGGTTGTGTAGGTTCGATTTTTTCGCCTTCGTCTTTCATGCCTGGTCGGCCTTCTTCTGGAGAGGGCAATTTCTTATCTGATGGTGTCACACCCCAAATCTCTTTTGCATATTCAGCGATCGTTCGATCAGATGAAAATTTTCCTGATGCTGCAATGTTCAATATACATTTTTTCGTCCATTCAGTTGAATTCTACATGGAAAAGAAATGAAATTCATTGCGAGTCTTTCCTCGAAACTTACTTTATACAATTGATCGACGCGTTCTTGAGCTTTGACGTATTCAGCATAATCAGCAAGTAGCATATAACTAGAGGAGAATGTACAACGATAATGACGTTGTAATTCAAAGTTGAAACTTACTGATCGTTCCATTCGAGTAGATGTTTGATGATATCAGCAAATAGATTTGGATCTTCGGGTGAAAAGAATCCATCACGAATCTGATCTAATGCTCGTTTTAATTCTGGTTCACGTTCATAAAATTCTTTCGATTTATATCTGCGAAGAAAAGCACATGAAATCTATGGGTTCAGTTGTTCGTTTCTCTTACCCTTTCTTACGAAGTGCATCGACATCTTCGACTGTCATACCAAAAATGAAGATATTATCACGTCCAACTTCTTCGTCCATTTCCACATTGGCACCATCCAATGTACCAATAGTCAATGCACCGTTCAACATCATTTTCATGTTACCGGTACCCGATGCTTCTAAACCAGCCAATGAGATTTGTTCCGATAAGTCGATAGCTGGAATGATCTTTTCGGCTAGAAAACCAAGTGAATTCTTGAGATGGCCGTCGAAATATTGTTGTCTACATACCAAGACTAACACGATAGTTTTCGAGAAAGATGACTTTAAGTCGGTCACCAATTGCAGGATCATTGTTTATTGTACGTCCGACATTGCAAATCAATTTAATGACTACATGTCAGGTGGGAAAATGAACGAATAATCCTTATAAGTCAACTTACTTAATTTGGCAGTTAGATAACCAGGTGCAGCCTGAAAGTACACAGAAAGAAATGATAGATTAGAACTTATTTTGCTTGTCGTTGACTAACTTTTCCGCCGAAAATGACTGTACGGGGAACAGTTTCTTTGCTTGGATTATCTTTGATACGGTTATAGAGTGTAATGACATGAAGACAGTTTAATAACTGTCGTTTGTATTCATGAATACGTTTGATTTGCACATCGAACATCGATGTTGGGTTGACGTTAACGCCGTATTCAGTTTTAAACATATCAACGAGTCGTTGTTTATTTTCCTACAGTACGAAAATAAATATTAGTTGTTTTCCAGGAAAAGAATTGAATTCTTTACGAGTTCGACACGTTGGACATCTCGAACGAATTGTTCGTCGTTGACATAATTACGTAATTGTGATAATTGAGATAAATTTGTTATCCAACTTTCGCCGATTTTACTTGCAATCACATCCGATAGGTCTGGATTACATAAAAGTACCCAACGACGCGGTGTAATACCATTGGTTTTGTTTTGAAATTTTTCAGGATTTAATTCATAAAAATCCTTGAATCTATTCGAACAAAATCGACATCTTTGACGAATTTCTTTGAAATGATTCAAACTTACAAAGTTGTCTTCAATAAATCACTGTGTAATTTCGCAACACCATTGACAGCATGTGAACCAACAATTGATAAGTAACCCATATTAACAACCTACAACCAGTAAACTAGAGGAAACATTCCCATCCATTCGTCATTCTTACTTTATGTTCATCTTCGACAACGGACATGCGTTTCAAACGTTCTTCATCACCAGGCCATTTTTGTCGTACGAGCTACAAATCACAGTATAGAGGGTTGCAAGCTGATTTCGTTGCCACTTACATCTAAATGGTGTAGATTGATTTCCGTGATGATTTCTAAGTGTCGTGGAAGCAGTTTTTGGAACATATCGATTGGCCAACGTTCAAGTGCCTCAGGTAACAATGTATGATTGGTGTAGGCAATTGTTTTCTTTGTGATGTCGAATGCTTGATCCCAAGTTAACTCTTCTTCATCGATCAATAGACGCATGAGTTCTGCGACCGATAGTGCTGGATGTGTATCATTCAATTGAACCGCAGCTTTTTCTGGAAAACGTGTGAAATCAACTGGTTTGCTGGTGTTCGAATAAATCTTGGAATGTTTATAACGACGAAGAATATCTTGTAAAGATGCTGATACTAAAAAGTATTCTTGCTTCAATCGAAGGATTTTTCCTTCATCAAACTAAAATAAAAACCGGTAGATCTGCGATGACGATCGATGCTCTTATTCAAGTTACATACATTGTCGTTTGGATAAAGAACACGTGTGATATTTTCAGTTAAACTCTACATTGAAGCATGAAATCATTTTTATGAAAAACGAAATTGTAATTTCGATTTTTACTTGTTCAGCAACAGCACGAATATAATCACCGGCATTGAACAGTTGAAAATTGAATTTGCCTGGTGCTTTAGCTGACCATAATCGAAGTGTGTTGACAACATTGTTATTGAAACCAGGTATCTAGAGTCAATTCAGTTGGAGATCAAATACGTGTTTTCGATCAACCATGAAAACTAATTCCTTACTGGTGTATCAAACGGCATAGCTTGAATGATTTCGGTCTCAATCCATTTCTTCTTTCCATTTTCTTCAACCACTTTGCCATAGAATTGTACAGGCACAAGAAATTCAGGTCGAGAAATTTCCCATGGATTGCCATATCGTAACCAATCGTCGGGATATTCCATTTGGGAACCATCTTCAATCTTTTGAGTGAAAATTCCTAAATGTAGATCGTCAATTTTATGTTACAAATCTATTTCATAGCAATACCATAGTCATATCGAAGACCGTATCCATACGATGGAAGACCTAAGGTTGCCATGCTGTCAAGAAAGCAAGCTGCTAGTCGACCTGGAATAAAAGGATAAATTAAAACCAAAAATTTTCTCTAAGAAATAGAATTAGTTACCGAGACCACCGTTTCCGAGTGCAGCATCCATTTCTAGTTCTTCTAGTTCTTCAATATTCAAACCCATTTCATAGAGAGCTTCATCAACGTCATTTTCAATGCCTAAATTAATCATGCAATTTGATAATGTTCGTCCCATGTAAAACTCCATTGAAAGATAGTAAACACGCTAAATAAAACATGATGGTTCGTGATAAATTCTTGTTGACAAGAAGGATTACTTTGCCATCAGTTTCAAAATGATGCTGATGCGTGCGAATCCATCGACCAATCAGATGATCGCGAACTAAAAAGAAAAAGAACAAGTCAGATATCATATGTTGCATGTTTACGTTTTCGTTTCGAAACAAACCTGTATATGCCAATGAGCTATAATAATCGCGTTCAGTCGCGACATCACGATCTTTTACAACAGTAAAATGTAAATGACGATTGAAAGTTTTCTTCACGGCTTGGACATTTTCTAGCTGAAAAACAAACGTGTTTTTTTTCTCTGATGAAGAAATAAATTAGTTGAAGAAGTTTTACCATTGGAATACCGCGAATACTGATTTGTTTTGAAGCTTTTTGTTTGGATACAGATGTACCGGTTGGCACAGTCTTTTTCGTTGGTGTCGACTTGTTTTGTTCAGTCTTTTTTTCATCTTTTTTAACAGCTAGATCGCTGATACTTTCAGTGACTGTTTTGATTGCCGACTTCTAAAACAGTAAGACAATTAATTCTCACGTAGGTTCGTCAAAATAGACCTACGAACCACTTGTTCCATGATGAAATTAAATTAAGTCACGCGTTACTGTACACGAGATTGTATGTAAGAAGTACGAAAGAGAAATGAAATTAAGTGAAATCGTCGACTCGTTGCACTTTTCTCTTCGCCGATGTCTTTTTTTTTTTCTTTTTCTTTATTGTTGACGGCACTACTGTACGTTGCTATTTTCTAACCAGCAAAGTATAACTTGCCTGAAGAAAACAGGCAGACGAGACAAACTATAGTCCAAAAGAAAAAAGAAAATGTGCGTCATTGAAAATACCAACTAAGGATAAATAAGCGAAGAACGAAAGAAATGAATCATCGGCTCTTTTCTGATCAGTCCAAGCGTTCAGTGATAATAATTTGTTTTGTGAAACTTTCGTTGCACTATCAGCTTTTTGCAAAATTTTATCATTTTCTCTTCAGCAGACGTAAGGTATCCAAGATCAACAACTAGAAAGTGTCAAAGTTATCGGGTACATTTGCATGCATTCCTCTGTGGACCGACAATGCAAAGAAATCATTGCTACACTTCGAGGTGTGACAATAGCTAACTACGATTAAAAAGGGTATAAAATGTCGAAGTAAACGCGACAATCGCTTGTATGGAAAGGTATCTATTTATGGTTCGTCTTTGAGTTCGAAGTACTCAATCATTGTACTTGTTGAATGCGAGTACAGATACTTATCTGATTAATAGTCGTGATTTTGCGCATTCAAAAATAGTCTTTCTCTGCTTGACAGAATAATGCGAAATACGAAGTTTTACGTACTTGTTAGGTGTGCCTGGTGACCATTTTCTACCTCGTTGTGCATCAATTATTTGTTAAACTGAGATTAATGTACGAATTCTTATAATGTTATTTAGTTATTGTCTGTCTAATGATTTTTGTGCATGATCCGATAGAAAAATCATTTTTATCAGTCTCATTGATGAAAGTCGATTTCCTGTGTTTTTCAGATACAATAAAAACAGAAGAGCCCTGCCTATTTTGTTTACAAAGTCAGTTTCACTATTACAAAGTAGGAGTTATGTATTTTTTAAGATGGAATAACAATATCTTTATACTCTACAGAGAATCCTGACTTATGACAATAACCGCATTAGTGCACCAGATGATTTTGGAGTACTTTTCTCGAAAATGTTATGTTTGTACGAGTCAACATTTGCAGAAAGATTAAGAGAACAAAGAACAGTGCAGAATTATTTACATCCTTTCTATGGCACATTTGATGAAGTCATGAAAAATGTACTTTCCACCGCAAGAAATATCTCCAATTGGTAGATGTCGATTGATCATGCGCAGAATGTGTGGATGGTGAAGAAACTTGCAACTTCTAAATCAATGAATCTCGCATCGGACTAATTTGCGTTTTTGCTGCTGACATGCGCAGAACGCATGATCAAAAGGAAAGGAAGGAGTGACGTTGCTAATATATGCACGGCCTACATATTGTTGGAGAACAGTAAAGAAATTACCGAAGGCTGAACTTTCGCCTTGTGGTCTTTACTAAAGCTATTTTTGCACAAACATCATTCAGACAGCGCATGCAACTATTGATGAATGTATGATTATGAAATGTTATGCTATATCCATAAATAGAGATGAATCCTCGCCATCGAAGAGAAATTTAATCACTGCATTTTGTCTATACCTATATCAACTGTTTTATTTCATTAAGTAGAGAGCGCACATCATGATTCTGGTAAGTAGTATTGATAGGGAAAGCCAAGAAAATAATCTCAGTTTTCATTCGTAGCCAAACTTTGCTTGCATTTTTGATATCGACGGTGTAATCACCAAAGGTCCAAATTTCATCGCGACAGCTAAACCGGCTATTCATACCTTGATACAGATGAAAGTACCTGTTGTCTTTTTGTCTAACACTTGCGTACTTGAATCAGACAAAGCTAAACAGTTGTCATCCATGCTTGGTATTACTGTACGTTTATATCAGATGATGTTCCTGAGAAAAAAGACATCTCTTTCAAATATGTAGATCAATCCGGAACAAGTTGTTCTAGCTCAAACACCAATGCGCACTTTAACAGAATATCATAACAAACATGTTCTCATATCTGGACAAGGTCCTATCGAAGAGATCGGTCGAATGTATGTACAATATGCGAGTTTAGATAAAGATAGTTCTTATTTTATCGGTTTTTTAGGCTTGGCTTCAAAAGTATCACAACGATTAAAGAAGTTTGTGATGCATTTCCAGAATTGGATATGGTTAATCATAAGAATCGAGCGAAACTAGTATGTCGAAAGCGGCAATGTTTGAATACGTATACACTTTTTCTTTCAAAGAATGAAGTCATGCAAAGCAAAGGACTTGTTCGCGATGAAAATTTTCGTCCAATTGATGGTGAGTGTGACTGTTCTTACTAGAATCAATATTGAATGATCAAATGTTTTATTAAAGCTATTGTTTTACTTGGTGAACCAATCAATTGGGAAAGCTCTTTACAAGTCATTACCGATCTTCTCCTAACAGATGGAAATCCAGCCAGTGTTCCAGATAACGCAGGACATGATAGAGATCATATACCAGTTATTGCCTGTAATCGAGATCTCATTTTCAAAGCTGCTGCTGATCTGCCGCGCTTTGGACACGGAGCTTTTCTCACATGTTTAGAAGCATTGTACAAAGTAAATCGTTGATTTAGACGAAAATCAGTTATTCAGTCTAACGAAAAGTCATTCTCTGTTTCCAATAGAATCTTAGTGGAAAAGAACTGAAATACGCGTCATTTGTTGGTAAACCATTTGAAATCTCGTTTCAATATGCTGAAATGATTGCTAATAAATTAGCATTGGCAAATGAACAGTCGATAATTGATCACATCTATTTTTTTGGGTATGTCCTTTAAGAACGAAAGGAAAAGATCAAAGGATTACCGGTGTCTTCTCCTTCTAGTGACAACCCCGACGTCGATATCGTTGGCGCCAACATGTACCATTGTTTATTACAACAAGATAGCAACAATAGAAAGAGTATTAGTGGATATGATCTGATGCGAGATACGAATTATTTCAGTGCAAAAGCATGCGAATCAATTTTGGTTTGTACTGGAGTGTACGATCCAAGTAAACAACCACAACCCGAAACAGAACCGTGGAAAATACCAACAACTATTCAAACAGATGTTCTCGAAGGTGTCAAATACGTTCTCGCTAAGGAACAACGATTATCAGAATAGTTGGATTTCTTTTCGATCAAATCTCTGTACATGATTGTCCATAGGATATGAGCTTTTATTCTATTTGCAATAAAGATCATCATACCGGTATAAAGTTTCAAAGATAGAAAAAGGTTAGATCTCACACATGGGAAGTGTAACAAGTAAAAACAGCTATTTATAGGAAAATAACATTCTGGTGTACCCATATTTATACAATCGAACTTGAATAACATACTGTTTTAGGTGATTAAATTTAGAACAGATGTACTATGAGGTTTGATGGTCCTGCTGACAAACGTGTATGAAACATCCTTTCTGGATAAACTTTACGCTTATGCATGGTTTTGATGAAGATAGATATGTAGTTTCGCGATGGAAAGAAAACGTGGTCCCTTAGCTCAGCTGGTTAGAGCGCCGTGCTAATAACGCGGAGGTCATGAGTTCGATCCTCATAGGGACCAAGTTTCCTTTTTTTTCTTGTTTCTACAACTATTTTTCTTACTATTCTTTTGTTTATCTTCTTTTTCTTTCATTCTGCAAACATGTGTTTATCGGATGAATCATATATGACGTGAAACATGGAATTTCAATCATAATAAACTAATATGCCGTCCGTCATACGATTCGAAGGAAGCACGTCTAGTTTAGATCCCAATATAAATCATTCTTTAATTGAATAAGAATAGAATACATTGCTGCAATGATCAAACAATCATTGATATAAACAGCTGAAGAATCACAATAACAATGCAGAATCTGTATCTCTTACAATTAATAGCATCTTCAAAGGAATCTGTATTATATATCATCCTTATACTTCGTTGTCTATTTATCCTACTCAATAGATACGTACACTTTGATCAAGAAAGTAAAGAAAGAGGAGATATAAATAAACTACTCAGGCCTTGTTCTTTAATCAGAAATTCCATTCTGTTTACGAACTCTTCCAAACATATTGCTATCCAATTGATCGTATTACAAGCTTATGTGGTTCAATGATATCTACATATTCTTCTATGACATACATATTGAAAACGATTTTCACTCTGAGACGTCATTACTTTGATTTATTGTAGTAAAAAACCGACAATAGTAAAAAAATATTTGACTACAGTATAACAGCATTCATCTGGCTGGAATAAATTCATTGGCACAAAACGGCTTGATTATAAAATTGACTACTCATCTCACGCACGCGGGAATAGATTGATTGTAGTTTTTAAAAGAAAACATTCATTTCTTCTTATCCTCTGGTGATTTGTCTCGTAAACCAGATTTCTGTCGATCATCCCTACAAAGAAGAACATCAATTCATTCCACAGAGTAAAGAAATTATTTCACATACTTAACATTATGTCCAGCTAATTCGTCAGTCATGTTTAGTTTTCTAAATGCTTCTGATTCTTCAAAAAAGTTATCTTGTGGATCGTATCCTAGAAGTCGCCGGGTTGAATCGATGTCCATTCGATTGAATGTATTCTTGGATAAACCATGGACAATTGCAAACTTGAGATCTTCGGGAGCATCAATACAACGTTCCAGTAATTGAACACAATCTCGTTGAGATATCCATGCATCCATCATATTGATTGCATCTTTATTCTGCGCCGCTGCATGCTCTCGAAATGCTCCGATACGAATCGCAATTGATGGTACACCTTCTTTCTCGCCCATGTAACAGCAAAGTGCTTCGCCAAAGCATTTCGTTACACCGTAAAGGTCTCCGGGATTCGGTGGCTCAGTTGTCTTTGCTTGTACATCTTTTGGATAACCACTTATAGCATGAATCGAACTAGCATAAATCATTCGTTTTACTCCGGCATTCTTTGCGGCTAGAAAAATGTTGTATAAGCTAAAAATGAACTGAGAGTAAAAAGAAGATTTTAGCTCAACAGTTTGTCTTACCCTTCAATGTTTGCTTTCTTCAACGAATCCCATGTTCCACTTGGATCTGGATCACCTGCCAAATGAATAATCGTATGGACATCTTTACAAGCTTTATCCAATGTCTCCATCTTATCTAAGTCGCCTTGAATAACTTCACCAAAGGTTTTCAATGATTCGGTTTTTTCCGGTTCATGAATAGAATGTACCTAGGAAAACGAAAGTTTTTCAATGAATGATTGTGTAAAAGAGATACCATTAAACGAAGTTTATATTTTTGTTTGTTTGCATGCTCAGCAAAATATTTGCCAATATTTCCAGCAGCACCGGTGACAAGAATCAATCGTGTGGATTTCGAAGATGTCATTTGTCTTCGTCAATTTCAAATTACGATCTGAAAAAACTCAACAGTTAAAGCAGTGACTTTTTTTATCACCAATTCGACATTCTTATCTTTCAGACAACGAATCTATATATAACTTTCATTGGAGTCGCAATTTGTTTCGGTTGTGTTATTTCATTTAGTGCAGTTCAATTATATTCCTTCTCCGAGAAGATGAATTTTATTTTAAATACCATACTTAACGACCTTTAACATTGAATTATTTTTCTATTTCAATATACTTTTTCATTAAATAATAAATTAACTTTCATCTGGCTTGCTTTTTTTCTCCCTCCATATATGCAAAAAATTACTTTTGCTGTTACGTTTTTTCGTGTATGTGCGCGCGCGCATACACACTCGCAAGCAAACCATTTCGTTGCGTCTCTATGATTATTCTTCTCTTCACCAACTACCACCCCTTCTCCTTTCCTTTTTCCTTACATGCGTTATTATATGCAGCACATCATAAGGCCTCTATTGTGCTTCTCGCGTTTTTGCTTGCAAGCGCGTTTTCTCTACACATTTTGCTGCTGCTGCAATCATCATTCGCTATTTCATACACAGCAGACGGAGACGAACATACACACACACAGCGCAAAGCAAAGCTCCTTGCACACACATACACACACACAGTCATACACGACCGCTACAGCGTGTGCGCTTTATATTTTAAAAAAGAAGCGAGACGAGAAAGCAAAGACATGCACACATACACATATACACATACAGCATACATATATATATATATATGCGTTGTGTGTGTGTGTGCGCTTTTTCTCTCGCTGTCGATTCTTCTTTTTAGAGCCAGGCAGTAACGAGAAACAACATCA